CTACAGTATTTTTACAGTCTTTATTTTACAGTTAAAATATATGTTTATTAAATAAAGTCTAATGTTACAACTAATCGGGGATCCCGTTACATTCTTCCAGAACTGACTTCAGTAATAAAAAAAAAACATAACTGAGAAAACCAGTTCATAAGAACCGGCTCAGTACAGTTACAGTATGACCCAGTTTAACTCACCCATGCCATCCAGCCTGCAGCAACCTATTGGCATGCCCCTGAACAACTTAGTACTAGGAAGACCACTGCCTTAAAGCCGTTATTCACCTTGGAATAGATTAGAGTCAGAAGTTACGATAGTCTCAATTTCTAACTGACTGTTTTCAAAAAGCAAAAAAAAAAACAACTAATAAACATGGTTTTATATGGATACTTGAAATCAAGTAAGATGACGTGTAGGCAGAGGAGAAACGAAGCAAACACAGACTGCTGACACTGACCGTAAGTGCTCTTTATCCTGATAATGTTCCTGAAAATGCAGATTCTTTACATAACTAAAAAAATTCAGAGCAATGTTTTGGTTCTGCAGTCTTATTCGCTCAAAGTCTCTGACATGCAGTCAAAATGTAATTTGCATCTGATAGCTTATGGTTTAAGACACAGACACAGATAAGAACATCAAGGAAAAAGAGAAGACACATCAAAACTTATAAATTAATTTTATTGTAGTTTAATCCCATGTGTGACCCAGAGAAGCTCATGCGTCCCTCCACTCCACCTAATGCACTATGTAGGTAGAACTAAGTCACCATGAATATATGTATCAGTTGCTTTGAATCTGTGTTTCAAACCTAGTAACATTTTATTAAGGTGAATGGTGGGAGAGCGGACAGTGATGAGCAGCTGAGATGTCTTCTCTCTTTTAGGAATAAGAGGCTTGTTAGATGGAGGGTGAGGTTGAAGACAAAGCCACATAGATAAATCATGAAGTGCAGTCCCAGGTAAGAACTTAGCATAACTTTTACAAGAAGGCACACAAATAGTGTAAAATTGGAGCAGGTTGGGTCACAGTGTGATGTTCAACAGCCCAACTAAGAATGACTGAATGCAGCCTTAAGTACAGTTTGCCATAATCAGCTGTCATTGGAATCATCTGTGTGGAACTGATCTGATCTGATTAGTTCCACAGGCACTGCCCAGGAACTGCACAAATGCAGTATAATGAAAATATGGTTACATTATATTACACACTATAAATAAATAAAAATATAATAATTTAGGAGTAAAAAACCCACTARATTAACAGTGACCTACATTTTTATATTGGACAGAAATATTGTACAATAAATAAATGCTATTTCGTTTTATCTTCAGTTTCTTCAATTGTTTTTTAATACATAAACATGAATGAATGAATGATGGTAGCACAACGGCTCAGTGGTTAGCACTGACGCCTCACAGCAAGAAGGTCCTGGGTTCGATCCAGTCTTTCTCTGTGGAGTTTGCATGTTCTCTGTGCTTGTGTGGGTTTTCTCTGGGTACTCTGGTTGCTCCCATCCCAAAAAAACAAAAAAAAAAAAACAAAAACATGTACAATAGGTTGCCTTCAGGCCCAGGCCTTATTTGAAAAAGGATTTGCCTGGTTAAATAACAGTAAGATTAAAAAAGTGAAAGTTTGAATTCTCCTACACATTAAGAATACTATCAATACACTTTCAGGTCCTTGTTTTTTGTCCATTTTTTGGTGAGAAAAAGCTGTTTTTAGTATAAGGAGAACCTATTTAGTAATGAGTTGGTAGTAACTGCTGTACATGTGAGTATATTACCTAAAATCCACATACTCTTTGTTCAACATATATTTTTAATCTATTTTCTCCACTACATTAATGACAGTACACCTGGTAAAGTCGGACTGTGATTATTTCTGTGTGAATTGTTCTAACACCTGTGTAAAATGAAAGGTTGGTCATTAGATCCCACTAACTCTTATATGCTGTAGAAAGATTTCTATTAAACTGAAAAGGAAATTTTAATTCTAATTTGCTGAAAGACGTGGAGATATCCTCCTTTTTACAAGGAAGCAGTGATGGTGATAGTTTGTGCATGTACAAGGAAAAGTAAAAGCAAGGTTATTTGAGAAGTGAAAGGAAGCCGAGCGTAATAAAGCAAGATGAGTCCAAACACATATATGGTGAAATGTGTGCACAGCAACACAGTTGAGATGCTGCAGGCAGGTCTCAGGCTGGTTAGGTAACTAATGGTGCTGATGAACCATCACTCTTGGAATGAGAAACTTGGAAACTACCTGCAAATTAAAGTCATGCTCAGTGAGCTCAGTGCACAGAACTATACTGCCTCTGTTCACCACTCCGACTCTGAGCAACACATTTATTTTATAGTATGCTTTATTAGATAAGTACAATAATACAAGCTGAAACAGTCTCAAGACTGTTTTTTTGGCTAAATCACAGCAAATTTGCAACATTGTTTTTAGGCTTGGCAGAGTTTCTTGTATAATAAAAACTACCTACAAGAAGATATAGGAGAGAGATCTAAAGAAAAGCTACTTAAATGTACAACAAATCAGTGGAATGTAATACAAGTTCCCCTGCTTTAACACACCTGTTTCAGATGATTGCAGTTCAACAAAAGCCTGTTAATCATTTATCAATTGAAATCAGCTGTGCTGAAGCAGGGACACATCTAAAATATGCAGGGCAGTGTGCCTTGAGGACCAGAGTTTAACAAACGCTGCCTTAAAAACTCTGAAGTTTTTTTAAAGAAGAAATATTACAATTAATGGGGTTTTCCTATCATTATTTTATGTTTTTATGTAGTTTTGTGTTGAAAGCTTAAAAAATACAAATAACATCCATCCATCCATTTTCTGTACAYGCTTCTTCCTTTTCAGGGTCGCATGGGTCACTGGTGCCCATATCCAGCAGTCACAGTGCGAGGGGCGGGGTACACCCTGGACAGGTCGCAAGTCCATCACAGGGCCAGGAACATATAAATTAAAAAAAAAAGATAACTTTTGAGCACAATAGTCAATACATAAACAAACAGAAATGTTAAACACTATTGCTGACGCAGAAGAAAGCTTTCTGTGTACTAGTTCCAAGTGAATATTTTCTGTTGCATTGACAACCAACTAAGCTGTGCAAAATCCATTTTGCACTGATAATTTACACACAAAAGATACAAAAAAAAAAAAAAAAAACCCAAAAAAAAAAAAAAAAAAAAAAAAAAAAAAACCCAAGCAAAAAAAAAAAAAGTCTGAACGTTTTTGTCCAACTTTGCTTTAGAAATCACAAATACAAAATCAGGCTTTGTGTATGAATTGCAAACTGCACATTTTTTACACTAAATTGTTGCTTTTGTGAGTGCTACTGTTAAAATGTTTAACTAATAAAATCTTAACTAATTTGGAGAGTGTATGTTTTTCCCTGTAAACAACTTACAAGACATGCTAGGTGAATAGTCTTATTCCAAACTAAAATGTTACAAGTTGATGCCGACAAACTCAATGCAGAGAAAAAACAGGAGGACAAATACGTGACTTCAAGTTTCATTTGTTTTTATTCCACTGTCTTGACAATTCTCACCATTAGTTAGCCTTTCCTGTATTACTGATTTTGCCATCTCTCACTTTATCCCCACACAGACTTCTGGGCCTCTGTGGATCAGAGAGTCGCAGAGTGGAGCAGCTGAGGACAGATCAGTTCAGCAGGACACATTTTACCCTGAGGCCACAGTAATGATGGAAACCAGACCAGATGCCTCACTGCCTGCAGCACTCAGCCTCTGTTCTGCCTTACATCCTGAAACATAGGGAAGTCATAGGGAGCCCCACTGCTGTCATTCACAGTCAGAAGAATCCGTTTGAGTTTCACAAACGAAAACATTTACACTTTTGAAGTGGATGGATGTTGGTATTTTTTTAAGCTCCTTGTCTTTTAGCCCATAGAAACCACAAAGAAAAACACATGTTGATGACAGGAAATAAATAAAAATACAAACACGAAGAGTCAATTTGTTTTTGCTGGCAATTGTATTTCTATTTACACATGAAATTTAAAAAAAAATAAATCTGCAATAACTGATTAATCCCTGGTGATCTAGTTTTCCCTGACAGATCAGAGGCTGGAGAAACCCAACTACTTTTTTTTTCAGGCAACTAAAATGTGGCGTTAATAAAATGTTAAATTTGAACACAGACATAAATCACATGCTTGCTTGTTTTATAGAATGAATAAAAAACATAACTGAATAATAATTATTCAGTTTCTAAATAATAATTTACAAACATTGGAAGAGCTGTTTGTATGTTTTTTGATTAATGTTTTATTTTATTTTATTTTATTTATATTTATTTATTTTTCTTCAGACTTGTTTTTTTATTATTTTTTAATGTTGTGGGCATTTTTTTGTCTGAGATAATAATAATAAAGTATTTAGTAAAATTAAATTTATAATATTAGAAATTAACAAAGCAATGCAATTATCAGACCATAACATTTTATTCATTTAATGTCCCCTTTTTAAAGGATTTTTGTTATTGTGTACTAGAGATTTTAAGCTTTAACCCATGGATACATAACCACAAGCCAAAAAGCAAAGCCTACTGTGTGGGAGGTAAGACAATATGAAACTTTTACAGAAATTTATTTTTAACAATATTATTCAAAATACAATGAGAGGAACAATAAAATGGATCAAACTCAAAGTTCTGTGTTCCAAACTACAGAAATGTAAATATGGATCTGTATATGAATTTGGCCATTCCACAGGACATTTGATGGTCATGTGGTGCAACCCCAAAATCAGATTACTTACTAAATGCAAAAAAAAGAAAAAAAAAGAAAACAAGAAAAGAAAAGTTATACATGCCCTATTGATGTCAAAGTTCAACATGTTCTTGTGGTTATATTTACTTTGAATGAAACCAAGTATTGACATCTTCAGCAGTTGCTGCTTTGAACCCTGCCTGTGTGTTTTTAACATTATTCTGTCAGTCATGTCAAACAGTTGGCCAATTTGGGTTTATGACAATCACTAATTTGGTCTCATGTTTTCTTTCACTTATTTCATTTGCTCAAGCAGAACTTCAGAAACAGTGAAATAATGAGTTTACTAACAGTAGCTGAAGACTGTTTTAAATAATGACTTTGAGACCTTTACAATTTCCATAAAGAAAAAAAAAACATAAGCTAAAAACAACATTGGTAATTTCCATCTGACAAAGTATGTAATATTCAATAAATTATACATAGTCTGATGGAAGAGTTAGTTCAAGCACATCTCAGAAAGGGTTAATGGAAGATGTTCCTTATTCAATCAGAACACTCACAGAAGAACATTTTGACTTGATTTAGACACTGAAAGCAGCATCGTAAGGACATGCAGCTCAGTGCCTAACAGCTTTAGTGCCCCTGCTGGAAAATACTAAAAATGCTGCACCAGTAAATCCTAAATTTATTTGTTCAAACAAGTAGGCTTGTCACTAACAATATTAGCATCAAGGAGCTAAGCATTCTAAGCAAAACCAAAAATACTACATATTATCTAGATAATACAAATGTAGCTACTTTCAAAATAATACTAAGTTGTGAGATGTCCAATCTATGTATTTACCCAGTCACTAAGTAAAATGACAACTTTAAAGGGGCAATGGTATGTGTTTCTCAGGCATATATTTAAGTTCTATACCATAATAAAGTATCTATGCCATCTTTAATTGTTATTAAAATGTTGTTTTTATGTTTAAATGTAAAAATAAACTCTTCTCATTTCCGTTTCTAAACACCTTGAAATTGGCCTCTGTTTCTTTAAGAACCACCTTCGACTTCTGTCCCGCCCATTTCAACACTGGTGGGGGGTTGGGGGGTGGGGGGTGCTGTGGAAGCTCAGTGTAGTTTACTTGGCATCTGAAAATACATTTCCTCAAAGGTATTTTGAATTTGAAAAGGGCTGCGCTCAGAAGTAGTACTGGGAGCTCAGCAGACAGTTTCAGTTTCACTTTCAGTTTCACCAGTTGTTTGATTTGTTGCTGCTGAGAGCCTGCAGAAGTCGCTCTGTGATGAGGAAGCTTGGCTTGGAGACACAGCCCAGAGGAGGAGCTGGTCCCAAAAATGTGGTGCTAGGCCCAACCAGTCGCTTTTGTTCGCTTGCTGGCTGTCTCAGGACAGCACAGGGTTTCTCATACATGCATGTATGAGTCAAAGTAATACTCTGGGCATATTTTTCATGGGATGATAACATTATAAAATGATATAAAGCTCAAAAATGTTCATTTTGCATTAATGATTTATTTCAAAATAATTAACAAGGCCTCGTAAAACCTATATGAATATATTGTAAATATAAAAAAAAATAATAAATGTTTGAAGAAAGATAAACACTTTCTTCACTGCCTTTTGCATACCCTACTAATTTCCTACTAATTTCCTACTAATAACCCTACTAATTTCATGTCTCCATCAGTAAAGACAACCAAGAAAGTAACTCAGATGTCCTGAAAACAAACTGTGACGTTAACACAAAAATTCACAGCACCTAAGACATAAGCAGATACTGGTACTCAATACTTTTAAATCCAACAGCATTCACACACCTTAAAAGCCTGTTCAGATGTTTTACAGTAACCTGATATTTGCAAACCTTCTGGGAATATCTACAAAGTACATCATAACCCCAATGGCTCTCAAATGCAATAAATAAATAAATAAATAAATAAATAAATAAATAAATAAATAAATAAAATTCGACACAAGACACAAACCTCTGCTGCACTCCTCATACTGTCCTGGCCCTCGCTGGCTCGCACCAATAGCAAGTATCGATGTTGGTCACTCTCGTAATCAATAGAGCGGGTCAGGCTGATTTCACCTGTCTCTGCTGACATGGCGAAGAGACTGCTGGGGTTGATGACAAGGCTGTAGCTGATTGGTTTCTTTTGAAAGGACACGGCAGGTGTCACCAGGAAGCTAAGGAAACAAAGAAAGACAGTTAATTCAAAATTGCAATAAAATTTATTTAGATGAAAGAATAACCTAAACAAGAAGAAAATAAGTTTTTTTTTTCAAATATTCTTAACTGATACATTTATCTGAAGTCCTGTATAACAGATAACGACACAGTGAACATTGCAAAAGACAAAGAGGACCACGAGTGGAACTATTTCAGTGAAACCCTGAATACGGATTTACAGATTACAAGTTGCACAAAGCAAAATTGCTTACGTAGATACGTATATAGGAATCAGAAACACCAGTGCTCAATAAACATGAAAACTTAAATTCTAAGCAGGTAAAATATGAAAAATACAAATCATCAGAACTACAGTAAGAAGTTTAAACTAACAAAGTTGTGGCATGACAGCAATAATACATTGCATTAGAAAACCTCTCATCTCAGGTCCTATAAAATATGATGACTCTAGTTGACTTTAGATTTTGAACATGTGAATAAATGGTATCTTGCCTTGATCTTTAGTCAATTGAGCCCAGTTTCACAAAAACTGAGCAAATAGTCATTTATTCATTGTGAAAATGGCACATTGGGGAATAACTGCAATAACTGTCTCTATGCTTCTTTTTCTGCTATCCTAAATATCAGATTTTAAAACTTTTTGGAGGGTGTCTACAGTTTGTTTTTCCCCCTACTTTTCTAAACGAACAAAGCACTAATTGTCTTCTGCAGATGCTCCAAGTGCCTGAACATCATTTAGAAATGTGCAAATATTGTTACTTTGTAAGCTCTAAGGAACAATAGAAACAGTTTTTGGGCGAAATGAAACTGAATTGTGTGCAGATTTTCTAGAAAATCTCAGGTAATCTATTTCAGGAGCTTGTAACAACTACTGTACATATTAAACAAAAATCAGCTGTACCTAAATAAAATAATAATTCATGTCAAAACAAATTGTAATAATAATCAGTAAAAAAATACACTGCATGTTCAGTGATGCCACAGTCACTCAATTTCTGTACAATCTCAATTCTGGTAAGGGTCACAAAGGAGTGGAGCCTAACAAAGTAAGGACTGGGGGTAAGTCAAGGAGGTTCTATAGAACAGCTGGAGTGCGCAAAAAACACGTGACCATGTGATCGGCTGGTGAAGCTAATGGCTAACGCTAAACGGGCAAAACTCTGGATTTCCCATTGCTGTACGTGTTTGGCAACAAGAAAAAAGGACTGATGATGTAGAAATCATTAAAACTATTAATAATAATAATATTAATCCAATTATTGTTAATATTTTACAGTTTATTTAATCGATCTAATGTTATAAATAATGCCAGAAAAGCTGTTTGTGTTATGGATTTATTAATAGAAGATAAAAAGGAAAATGTCCTGATGCATCTCAGTAATCCAGGTAAAAAAAAAATCAAAAAGAAAAAAAAATGTATAGGTCTTCTTGACGGGTTCTTCTCTAATGAAACGTTTCGTCTCTCCTCCAAGAGACYTCTTCAGTCTGAGAGTTTCAGGCAAAATTCAGGCTTTTAAGCACTGCCTCCATGTGACTGATACTCACATCACATGGCTATCGTTGACACCTAATTAACACCTATTGTTAACAGGGGGTGGAGTGATACTGGCAATAGCCGTGCTGTAGGAGGGGGACAACTGAAAACGGGGGCCTCCACCTCTGTTTAATGATGGACGGTCTTTCTTCACAAAAATGGCTTCTTTTACTCCTCTCTCAAACCAACGTTCCTCTCTATCAAGAATGAGAACATCCTCATCTCTGAAAGAGTGACCGCTGGCCTGTAAATGAGTGAAAACTGCAGAGTTCTGGCCATTAGACGTAGCTCRTCTGTGTTGGGACAWTCTTTTGAACAGTGGCTGCTTTGTTTCCCCGATGTATAACTGGTCGCAGTCCTCCTGGCGCTTAACAGCATATACAACATTGCTCTGTTTGTGCCGGGGCACCGGATCTTTGGGGTGAACCAGCCTTTGCYGTAATGTGTTTTGGGGTTTGAAAGCYACTGGGACATCATGTTTAGAAAATAAATGTCTCAGTTTCTCCGAAACACCCGCAACATACGGAATAAACACTGGTTTGGGTCTGGGTTTGGGGTCTTCATTTTCACCTGAAGGTTGCATGGAATCCTGTCTGTGTTTCCTGTCTGCTCTCAGGAAAGCCATTCAGGATAACCACACTGCTCCAGGGCCTGTCGTGTGTGTGTCACATCAGTCACATGGAGGCAGTGCTTAAAAGCCTGAATTTTGCCTGAAACTCTCAGACTGAAGAAGTCTCTTGGAGGAGAGATGAAACATTTCATTAGAGAAGAACCCGTCCAGAAGACCTATACAATTTTTTTTCTTTTTAAACAGGAAAACGTCTCATTTCACAACACAAGTCAGCAGACTTGATCTTATTTAGCTCAATGTGATCTGAGCAGAACATAGTGTAACATTTTAAAATTAAAATTATCTTATAAAGTCGATGTAATCACTGTTATTTATTAAACTGGTCAGCAGATATTAGCTTGTGGAGCATATACTGTATACAGAGTTTAGCACTGTTGAATCATACTACAATTTAACACAAACTATAAAATATTACAGCTGATTTGTCCTCTGTTTAATATTTAGACATACAGAGTGTAAAATAATATTATAAATGTGAGTATTTTTAGGTTCCTTTTAGAGGAACCTGACATGTTAAGAAGATGGTTAGCTAATAGAGACAAGTTTCATCCTATAACCAGAGAACATTTTCTAACTGTTGACTGGTGAATATAAATATTCTTATTTTTTATGACAATGAGAAGAAATAATAAATATACTTTATTACCATCTTAAGTCATCATTTTTCAACTAGCTAAAGTCTAAGTTACAGGCTGACTTCAGGTATGGTTTAGATCATTGTTACTTGTAAATTATATATTTTTCTGGTATAAATCTGCTGTATTACATGATTGTTGAATGAAATTAACATAGTTATTAATTTATTGTAAAAACATGACCGATAATATGTGAAACAGATCCAGTTCAGCTTGCTGTTTATCTATTAGTTTCTATGGAGGCTGTGAGCTGTAGCCCTGTTTGGTCTCCGTTTCTGCTCCTCCATGCTGTCACAGACGCTACCAGTGTACGGTATGGGCGGGGCTCAGTCTAGCGATCTTTATATTTAAGTCTATGAGTTAAGTACACTTCAGACAAGTCTGCAGTCCATCACATGGACTCACCAGAAGAACAACACACACACACACGGCCTAGTACAGCTTTCTTTATGGAGACATTTCATGGATTTTCATTAATTTCTACAGCCCAACCCTGACACCTAAGCCTAAACCAAATCTCACAGGTACACATGACCAAATATCTAACCTAAACTCAATTCACAGCTTAGTCCTAAACCTAACCCCCAAATCACTAATTGCATTAGTAATAGAGAATAAGAGCCTGCAAACACACACACACACACACACACACATGTTTGTTTCTTGACGCTGTGGGGACCTTCCATTGACTTCCATTCATGTTTTTAGCCCATAGCCTAACCATGACCATATACTCTAAAACTAACCTAAACATTGGTCCTAAACCTAACCCCACACCCGTAACATGCATTTGGACCTGTGGGGACCTGTCACCCCACAATTCACTTCGGTCCCCACGAGGCTGCTTTTTATGGTCAAAAATTTCCCAAATTGTAGGAACCCCCCCCCCCCCCCCCCACACACACACACACACAC